GCAGCGTTGCATGACCGCCAATCGTCAGTTAAATTAACGCAGCGCCATAACGCAAACAATGGCCTGGTCAGGAAGGGGAGTAAATCCTCTGGAGAGCAAGTGGTTAAAGCAAGCAAAGGGCCTGGTCAGGAAGGGGTGGTTAAATCCTCTCTGGCAAGCAAAGGGCTGTATGTGGTCCAGGAGCCACATTTTGGGGACCACTGTTCTAAAGCCACGAGTCTTTTTTTTTTTTTTAGATAGAGTAGGGAATAGTCAAAACCTCTTTATTTCTGCCATTATATGTCCCATTAGATAGATTTCCCTTCACTTCCTGTTTTGTGGACACTACAGGAAGTGAGAGGAAATCTCTTTATTGTAAAGGATGCTTCTTTTAGACAGTTACCACTGGAACAAGTGTCACCATGGAAAATATATCCCTTCTCTTTCTGTTGTATTGAAAACTCCCCATCAGGAACACACATTCTAACCATTGACCACTCTATCCAAAGCTAAATATTTGCCTTTAGATACACTTTAATATAAAGTGATAATTTGATGTGATCCTGTTGATCAGTAATGTTTCTTTCAAATACAAGGCATTAGTTCCCCGGGAGTCGCGGTGTATGTGGCGGGACACAACCTGATAAAGGCTCATGCTGAGGCCTGGCACTTGTACAATGACAAATACAGAGCCACACAGGGAGGACAAATCTCCATCACCCTCAACTGTGACTGGGCTGAACCCATCAACCCATACAAGCAGGAAGATGTGGATGCGGCACGAAGATACTTGCTGGTACGTTGTATCTGTGTGAGGATTAATGCGGTATTAAGCGCAAAACCAAAAAATTCATATATTACAGCATATCAATCATTCAATGTGATGGCTGCACTAGTTTTCTTTCTTAGACTTTCTTTCCATTATTTTCACCTCTGTGATCTGTTGTTTTTCAACAGAACAAGCTGTTCTGTAGATGTAGCACTTAAAGCGGAGTTCAGGCTCTTGCCCATCCCCCCCAAAAAAAAATTAAAAGTCAGCAGCTGCAAATTCTGAAGGTGCTGACTTTTAATATTAGGGTACTTACCTGTCTAGGGATCCAGCAGTGTCCTTGCCCCAAGCCGATTCTTCAATAAGCTGTTGAACGCTGGTGCCGCCATCTTGACTAAGGGAAACCGGCAGTGAAGTCACGTGCGTGAAGCTCGCTGCACTTTGTGAATGGGCCACAGTCCTCTGGGACCTTGGAAGTGTCCCAGAAGGCTGCTGCAGGGGGGGGGCAGGATAACTACCAGCTCAGTTTGCCATGGTGAACCTGTCAAAACCGATGGAGCCTGTCAAAACCAGGTACCTGCTCCCACCCAAAAAGTGCCAAATGTGGCAGTGGAAGGGGGAATGAGGCAGAAAAGTGGAGCTTCTGTTTTTGGGTGGAACTCCGCTTTAAGTTGCATTCACATCTAAGTGTTCCGGGAACGCTGGCAATAACACACATTGATGCCTGCATTTCCAGAAACATGCAAAAAAGTGGCAAAATGCGCAAGGCAGTTATGGCGCCATTATTGCGCAAGCAGTTCCCCCTTTTTTTTGTATGTGTGTCGTGCGACAAAATTTGGAACGCAAAACGCACTTGGCTTAGTGTCCAAAATATCGTGATTGGGCAGCCCTATGCTGACACACAACACATGCACCAAAAAACACAGAATGTTGCGAAGGTGTGAATGCAGAGGGTTGAGATAAACCATTTAACTCTATCAACATGCACATAAAACATTCATTTGGTGTATATATTGGTGTTAAAGATCGACGCGCGTTTTGCGAGGGACCTGCTTCCTCAGGATCCATGCCTTTTATACATGCAGACAAAATTTCAATCTACAACGATAGGTAAAAAATAAATAAATATACAGTACATGCACTTATAATAGTCATTGTACATCTATAATAAAAATAAAAAGAGAAAAGGATATAATACAACAAAGCAAAAAATGTATGAACTTGTGTGATGAAAAGGGAAAGGGAGGAGATAATTACCCCTCCAATATGATAGGGTCTGAGTTGTTGGGTGGGGGGGTGCAAAAGAGACCTGGATTTAGCCCAACCCAATACCTACATGTCAGTAGCGAGTAACACTCCTGTCCCATGTATATGAGGCTGTCTCTTTTATGGATATGAGGCTGTCTCTTTTATGGATACGAGGCTGTCTCTTTGCTGGAATTGGAACTGTCTCTTTTCTGGATATGGGCCTGTCTCTTTTCTGGATATGGGCCTGTCTCTTTGCTGGATATGGGGATGTCTCTTGCTGGATATGGGGATGCCTCTTGCTGGATATGGGGACTTCTCTTGCTGGATATGGGATGTATGTTTGCTGGATATGGGGTATGTCTCTTTGCTGGATATGGGGACTTCTGTTGCTGGATATGGGGATGTATGTTTGCTGGATATGGGGTATGTCTCTTTGCTGGATATGGGGGATGTCTTTTGCTAGATATGGGGCTGTCTCTTGTGGGATATGGGCTGGTCTCTTGCGGGATAGGGAGCTGTCTCATTGCTGGACTGGGCTGTCTCATTGCTGGACTGGGCTGTCTCATTGCTGGACTGGGCTGTCTGTTTGTTGGATGGAGCTGTCTCTTTGCTGGATGGGGCTGTCTGTTTGCTGGATGGGGATGTCTCCTGCTGGATATGGGCCTATTTCTTTGCTTTATATGAGCCTGTCTCTTTGCTGGATATGCACATAAATGATAGTTCTCTACTTTTTGCCTTAGTTTTTCGGTGGTTGGTTTGGATACCCAATATTCAAAACAGGGGATTACCCTGAAGTCATGAAGACCAATGTGCGTGAGAGAAGCCTTGCCTTTGGATTGCCTGAAAGTCGGTGAGCATTACATGTTACATGACAACTGAGCACAGTATTATTATGGACCTTTGTTATATGACACATGAGCACAGTATGCACAGGGACCTTTATTACATGTTATATGACACATGAGCACAGTACGAAAAAGGTCCTTTATTACATGTTATATGACACATGAGCACAGCACGAAAAGGGACCTTTATTACATGTTATATGACACATGAGCACAGTATGCACAGGGACCTTTGTTACATGACACATGAGCACGGTATGTACAGGGACCTTTGTTACATGTTATATGACACATGAGCACAGTATGAACAGGGACCTTTATTACATGTTATATGACACATGAGCACAGTATGTACAGGGGCCTTTGTTACATGACACATGAGCACGGTATGCGCAGGGACCATTGTTACATGACACATGAGCACGGTATGCACAGGGACCTTTGTTACATGTTATATGACACATGAGCACAATATGCACAGGGACCTTTATTACATGTTATATTACACATGAGCACAGTATGAACAGGGACCTTTATTACATGTATGACACATGAGCACAGTATGCACAGGGACCTTTATTACATATTATATGACACATGAGCACAGTATGAACAGGGACCTTTTATGATATGTTATTAACAAGCACAGTATGCACAGGGACCTTTGTTAAATGACACATGAGCACAGTATGCACAGGGACCACATGTGCAACAGGACACGGACCTGTTATTACATGTTATATTTTGAAACAGGGATCTTTAATACATGTTATATGACACATGAGCACAGTATGCACAGGGACCTTTGTTATTACATGACACATGAGCACAGTATGCACAGACAATGAGCACAGGACAGGGACCTTTGTTACATGTTATATGTTATATGACACATGAGCAGTATGCACAGTTATTCATGAGCAGGGACCTTTGTTACATGTTATATGAACACATGAGAACAGTATGAACAGGGACCTTTATTACATACATGACACCTTTATTACATGTTATATGACACATGAGCACAGTATGCATAGGGACCTTTGTTACATGAGCACAGTATGCACAGGAACCTTTGTTACATGACACATGAGCACAGTATGCACAGGGACCTTTGCATGTTATATGACACATGTTACCTTTGTTACATGACACATGAGCACAGTATGCACAGGGACCTTTGTTACATTTGGAAATGCCAGGAAACCTTTGTTATATGACACATGAGCACAGTATGCACAGGACCTTTGTTACATGTTATATGACAAGTGCTGCTCAAATGTTATATGCTCCAATATTTTTCAATCTCGTGATTCCCACACGAAACCTTTTGACGAGTGCAGCTGCAAATGGGCCTGTTCCACCCACATAGATAGACAACACGCAGACGATAGGAGCGCACTCTGAAGCTGCCCAATTCTAGGACTTCAAAGTAGGCTTCAGCATTTCCACATCTGAGGCTATGCCCCTCTAACACGTTTCACCCACTCAAAGCAAGACATGACACATGAGCACAGTATGTACATGGAGCCTTGTTACATGTCATGCTACACATGAGTAGAGTATACACGGGGACCTTTGTTACATGTCACATGACATTTGAGTACAGTATGCACACATGTAACACACAAGCATGGCTGCTCTGTAGTGCACATGTGTGCTTCAATCACATTCATTCCTACACCATGCGATGACTTGTGGCAGCAGTGAGTACGGTTTTTCTATCAGAATGAACTGGGCTGTGGCACACATTTGTGGGACTAAGTGGCCATTTTGGGGGGAAAGGCTATGTGGTTTTGAGCAGAGCAGCACAATGAAGATCATAGATCAGAGCTGAAGGTATATATCAGACTTAGTGGAAAGCGCTCGGATGGTGGAGAGAAGTTAATCATGGACAGCCATACAAAGCAGGGGCGGACTGACAACTCATGGGACCCTCGGGCAATAGGGGATCATGGGGCCCCTGTGTCCTTGCCCAAACTCAAAAAAGCCTATGAAAAAGGTACCAGGGGCATCTCATGGGGCCCCCTACTGACCCCGGGCCCTCGGGCAGTGCCAGAGTTTCCAAATGGTCAGTCCGTCCGCCCCTGGTACAAAGGTATAGGTACCCTATAATGTTATGTTTTTGCTTTTTTTCCCACAGTTTGCCAGAGTTCACAGAAAGTGAGAAGCAGAGGATTAAAGGGACATACGATTTCTTTGGCCTGAACCACTACACTACAGTCCTGGTGGGGCGAGCTGTCTATGACTTAGATTACCAGGCTTACCAAGGAGACAGGTAATTCTTAACATCATTGCGGACATTATTCCAACATCAATTAGATCTACATGGGTCTAAAGTTCATCATAGATTCAGTGGACTGCCTGGCACTTCCACTCAGTAAAGGGCGACCTGTTCTGCAACATAGTTGACCATTGGCGGTGAATTGACCGGATGATTGACTTGTGTTTGGATCGCCTCTGACTTTGTAGGCTGTCAGTATCAGCAGAGAAGTTTTAAAACTGTCATTTCAAAACATGAAGCAAACCAATGGTCAGTTTGAATTGTAAATCCCAGTAAAGTCACATTTATACAGATATGACACTGCGGGGGTTACTTACTAAAGCGGAAGAGTACAAAATCTGATGCAGCTCTGCATAGCTTCCAACTTTTATTGCTAAAGTTTAAAGTGGTTCTAAAGGCCCAAGGTTTTTTACCTTCATGCATTCTGTGCATGAAGGTAAAAACCTTCGGTGTGCAGCAGCCCACCCAATACTTACCTGAGCCCCATCACAATCCAATGATGTGCATGAGAGCCTCGGCCCTCCAGGGACACTCCCTCCTTGTTGGCTAAGACAGCAGCAGAAGCCATTGACTTCCTCTGCTGTCAGTCCAATCCAGTAAGCCATTGAGGAGAAGGAGGGGGCAGGGCCTGAGCCACAGCTCTTTGTGTGATTGCACATGCAGAGCAGCGGCACGGGAGCGAGCCGGCTTGGGTGCCCCCATAGCAAGCTGATTGCTCTGGAGTCACTTGGCAAGATGGAGGGGCCGGGAGCACTGGTAGGGGACCCGAGAAGAGAAGGATCGGGGCTGCTCTGTGCAAAACCACAGAGGGGTTGATTTACTAGAAATGGAGAGGGCACAATCTTGTGAAGCTCTGCATAGAAACCAATCAGCTTCCAGTGTTTATTTTTGTTAAAGATTAATTGAACAAGCTGAAGTTAGAAACTGATTGGCTACCATGCACAGCGGCACCAGATTGTGCCCTCTCCAGTTTTAGTAAATCAACAGCTATGTGAGCTGCAGATGCATAACTGGCCATGAAGACGATGGGCTTCTGTTCACCTCAAAAGTTCCTACTGCGTAAAATAGAGATAGCTGATCTAAGCAGAAAGCCATTTGAAAAACCCAATTATCAGACTGATAAAAAAGGACACCCCACTGGAAAATGTCTGATGTTAGCCAGTGTTGCGGAATACCACAAGTTGGTTGTGTTGCCCTGTTACATAATTTACTAGTCATATTTTTGCAAAATGAGCATGAAATAAAATGTAGAAGTGATCTGAAAATGGATCTGTCCTTTGAAGAGTGTTTCCATTTTTCATTTTTTTGTGAAATCCTGAAGAATTAAACCTCCAAATGGGTTTTTACATCTGCCAGAGCCTCAAGTTGTGACAGCGCGGTGTCTGTGCTTACATACCCAGCCATACACGCCAGACACAGCCTTGAGAAGGGGGTCCAACTGTGCCTGATGGAGTTTTTTTTTTTACTTTTATAGTTTGGGAGAATAGAAACACCCAAAGGTGGGCAAGAGCAGAGCCATCGTCAGCAGGTAAATCTCGCCATAGGAGATGTTAAGAAGCCAGGAGATGTCACTAGGCCACTCCTGAAACTTTAATATTGCCTTTGGATGGACCAGCCCTTTAAAAGCATGCATAGGAAAATTAGGAAATTCAAATTGGGAGAAGGAGCACTTCTCCCAAATTTCTGCCTTTAGTATTGGCCCACCAATATTTGTTTGAACCTTTTCCTTACACTGTGGGTCTTAGGAGATATGATACGAAGGTCTGTCATCTTAATAGATGTGTTTTATCATGACAGAGAAGTCTACCTATGGAGTGACCGCACCTGGCTTGGGTCAGGCAGCTCCTGGCTAAAGGTGACTCCTTTTGGCCTGCGAAAGTTATTAAATTGGATAAAGGAGGAATTCAACAACCCTCCCATCTATATAACCGAGAATGGAATATCTGAACGTGGGACAAACTTGAAAGATGTATGGAGAGAATACTACTACAGATATTATATCAATGAGGCCATGAAAGGTACAAAACAGAAGTATTTACTTACAAATAAGCATATGATTGAGAAATATAATAAAACACATAAAAATACCTAACCAGAGGTTACCATCAGGGAATACTCCAAACTGTCTGAGTGGGAAAGAAGGATACTTTTCAGCAGAAATTGTTTGTGGATGTATCCATGTCATACATGCACCCCCCTTCCTCCAATCATCATGATAATTTGAAGTGTATCTAAAGGCAAGTCTTGGAGACCATTGTCAGTATGTAGGATTATTGCCCATCCACAAGAAAAGATTATTTTCTAAAAAAATTAAACATTTCCAATATATATGCTTTTCTGCACACAGAAGGATATCACTAATTATGTCTTTTGTCTCAGCCTGCCTTAAGGAGAATGTCATTAAAACCAGAAACTGTTGGGACAATGAACACTTTATCCGCACTATATAATATACAGAGTGCAGGGGTCAGGAGTAAGGCTGGCCAATACACTATACAATTTTCTTACAATTGTCTGTTCAATTTCTGCCAAAATTCATTTAGATTTACCTTCAACTATGTAGTGCAAGAGCCTGCCTAATTAGATACAATGGAAAGTGTTGTTTAATTTTGACCTCATATTATATGGTTTTTGGTAAATCTAAAGCAAAAATCTCAAGAAAATTGTATAGTGTATGGCCAGCCTAAGTCAAATACAAAATCACATATACTGTAAAATGTGGCAGTCAGGAAAAGCCCCCCCCCCCCCTGTTCTCATCTAAATTCCCTCTTTACATCAACAGTCCCCCATCAGAGTCCCCCTTTATAACAGAGTCCTCCCCCTTACATCAGGATCCCCAAAGTCACCTGACTTACAAAATGGCCCCCAGAACCCTCCATTACATCAGGGTCCCCAGCATTCAGCCCCTATACATCAGGGCCCCAGAGTCCCTCTTTTAAATCAGGGTCTCCAGAGTCCCCCTTCCTCCTCACACTGAGGTCCCAAGAGTCTCTCTCCATTACATCAGACTCCCCAGAGTCTGAATATCGGGGGCTGGAGGCAGGGTAATCATATGATGAGTTGCTAGGACGCTGGGCGGCCCTAACAACCAACCACTAGTGCTGACAGTGGTGGGCAGCAGCATTGGGCGGAACCTATGTTACAGAATGGAAAAACACAGAAGATTCCACCCACTGTGCTGTACAGTTCTGCTCATGGACTTTTATGGACGCAAGAAATCAGGTGTTTTTGTTACAAATTGTCTGTGAAAATATGGATGGTTGACAACCCTGTCAATGAGACAGAAGTGAGAGAAGGATGAGAAACCCTAAATGTTACTGTTGTCACCAGAACAGAAGGTGAAGGTAAATCTTCCAGTGGAGACACCTGTTCCAGTGAGAGCACAAGGGGAATGCTCCGAACATTAAAGAGATTTTGTTGTTAGCATAGAGAATCCACTAGATGGCACACAATATAATATATCCTTTTTCTCTGCCCTCTCGTGGAGTCCCCCTAAAACTTTATAGTAATCTCAAAATTTATTGACAACAGCATTCTGGCTTTCCACTGAACTCTCAACCTTCCTTGGCCTTGTTGGGTGTTAGGAAAGTCTCTCCAATGGGGTCCTAGAAAGGAATGAAGACCCAAAAAAGGGATAGAGCCTAGCCAGAACCTCAATGAAAATGGACAAATACAGTTTGGATGTGGTTACTCTTCACATTTAGGTATTACAGAATACTTCCTATTGGTTGTCACAAAGTAAAACTAGTTGAAAAATGTTGGCCAAGCCATAGTGGGTAAATCCAGATTAGGAAAAACAAACCTGACATTTTAAAATCATTGTCTATGTTCTTCACCACACAGCTGCCAAACTGGACGGGGTGGACCTGCGTGGGTACTCAGCGTGGAGTCTCATGGATAACTTTGAGTGGGCTAGTGGCTACTCAGAACGCTTTGGTTTGTACTATGTCAACTTCTCCGACCCAGCTCTGCCTCGCATTCCCAAGGATTCTGCCAAATACTACAGGTCCGTTATTAGGTGTAATGGTTTCCCCAATCCTCGGAATATCTCTCATCCCTGTTTCCGACCAGAGAATGTTCCTGAAGGTGAGTTGAGGGGAGTTTAGTGCAACTTTACTGGGTTGTTGTCATACAACGTCATAGTGACTAAAAGAAGGGGACCAGCTCACTGTCTTTGTTAACTTTGTCATTGAGAAAGGTGGTTAGGGCTTGTCTATTGCTTGTGCATCCTTTTCTGCTGCCTAATCACCACAAGAGAATGGGGGAGCTGGGATTTTTATCAGTTGGAGGGATGAATTTTAGCACAAAGTATGTAAGCGAAGAACTCGGCCCGCCATATCACCAGTGAATCACAATGAATTAATACACAAAAATGTAGTGCTTTTTTCACCCCTTTTTTTTTATTTAATACTGATTTTTTTTCAGAATAGCAAATGCAGTAATTTAGAGTTTGCATGGACAGGTGAGTGCAGTATTGCACTTTTGATAGATAAATAGGACACATTTTCCTAGAGACTTACACAAAGAGACCAAAGAGAGGGGCAAATGAGTAGGATAGAGTGACTGAACGATTTGGTTACAAATGAGGGACAGTTGGGTGCTCTGCACTCTGGTCAGAATGAAAGAACCAACCTTCGCACCTTCATACTGCCTCTGGTTTTATGGTTTTAATTGCGACTTAGCTGCAGTGAATCAGTCTACTCCACTACTTATAACTAATGATCTTCTACAGTAATATGATGTTGTGGGAACTCTGTTCCTCTACCTCAAACAGAAGCCACCTCTCTCATCTAGACCTGAAAGAATTGCAGAAACTAAATGCTGGTGTGCACACTGCAACTACATGAGGGACCTCTTAGATGTATAGATGTATGTTGGGGAGGTACTGGGACCACTTCATGCTGTCACAGACCTGAACATTGCTCATTTCCTGGGCAGGTGAGAGGTGAGCATTCTTCACTAATCCTTGCTTGTAACAGAATGGGGAAGAGGGAGGGGGCAGATTTTTTTTTTTTTTTTTATAGGGGTTTTCAGACTATGGAATTGATTTACTAAAACTGGAAAGTAAAACATCTGGTGCAGCTCTGTACAGAAACCAATCAGCTTTCGAGTTATTTTTTTGTTGAGTTCCACCCTTTTTACAAGTTCCTCTGGTCTCAATGCCCCTGTTCCTGGTTTATGCTCCTAAATGGATATCTTTTTTTTAGTTTTTCCAAATACCTATATATATTATATCCGGGCAACACATCCGGGCAACACTTCCGGTCCCGGCCGCTTAGTTGATTTTGTCATTAGGCGATTCCCATGAACTCCTGGGATATCAGCGTGATCTATCCCAGGAGTCTTCGGGAAGCCTTAGTTATATCTCGCTCTATTTTGGTTGCAGGCGTTGCTCCTTTCCTCAACCGCACTTACCTTCTGGGTTCTCTTTTGATTGACAGGTTACCATAATAAGGTGGATGGGAACAACTTCCAACGATGCCGCCGTTGCTATGGTAACCTGTAATCAACAAACTGCACTGTGTCATTACTAGGCAGGAGCGAGAACGGGAGTTACATGCTGGGTAGCCAGCTGCACCTAATTTTGGAAATACACAGGAGCGGACTTCAGATGTCCACATCCCCTATGGCCCCTGCCTGCTTCTGAGATCAGTTAAGATATTACAAATTTAAATGTAACAAGCATGAAAACAGAACAGTATCCAAATATTAGAGTACAAGTACTAACAATTGCGGGGGAGCTTTTATTAAAAAAAATTGCTTATGGGGACTGGAGCTCTGCTTTAACCTAACAGGCTGAATTTAGAAGCTAATTGCCCATATGGAAGAAAAATATATTTTTAAAATATTCTTCCCAAATATATTGACATATATTTGAAATACTACAATTTTGGCCATATTCAATATATTTCAAAATATATTTCAATAAATATATATACTGCATGTTGAAATGCGTTTTTATTACAAAATATATGAAAAATATTTTTAAAAATATATTTCAAATATACTGTGTGTCTTTAAAGATACATATCTACATTTTTGGAATGCATTTACAAATATATGTCAAAATATTTTAAATATATGCTTTTTTATATGTTAAAAAAAATCTAAAGAATATATTTAAAAAAATATATTTTAAAAAATATTTTTTTCATATATATATTATATATATATATATATATATATATATATATATATATATATATATACACATTTATTGAAATATGTTGGATATGGCCAAAATTGTAGTATTTCAAATATATGTCAATATATTTGGGAAGAATATTTTAAAATATAGTTCAAATATATTTTTCTTCTATGTGGGTGGCTACCAGGCACAGCTGTACCAGATTTTGCACTCTCCAGTTTTAGTAAATCAACCCCTATGACTGCGCTTTTTTTTTTTACTAGGGTTTTATCTGTTCTGATAATCACTGTTCAACAGGTAAAAAGTTTTGGGCATAAAATTAGCTAATCTTACATAATTTTGGGGTGCTGAAAACGAAAATGACCCTAAAAAATGTTGATTGGCTCTAGTTTCCATGATATATTCACCCATCTAATGACGTAAGCCATTCAAAATTATGATGCAACTTCAGCTGCATATTGCGCAATTGATACTGGTGACCAATAGAAAATTGCATGTATACTGAGATGATGCAATATTAGCCTTTAATTGCATCACTTCACTGCATAAAAGCTGCAGTATCTGTAGCTGATTGTAGTTCGTCTTTACATTTCGTTTTATGCTTATATAGGCTACTCAGTAATGCCTCGAACTTTTGTGAATAAAGCAGATAATTTCTGCTATATCTGCGGTGAAATAACTTTTATCTCACAAAAAAGGAGGATTGATTAAGAAAGCCTACAACTTGTATTTTGGCTGCAAGATAGGAGACCAGGACAAGAGCTGGGCACCACATATATGCTGCAATTCTTGTGGGACGGCACTGGAGCAATGGTTGAATGGAAAAAAGGCATCTATGCCTTTCGCTGTGCCAATGATTTGGAGAGAGCCAACAGATCATGTTAGTAATTGTTACTTTTGTATGGTGCCTCCAATTGTAAAAGGGCAAAATAAGAAGAAAAAATTATCTGTGCACTATCCAAATATTCCATCGGCAATACGTCCAGTTCCTCATGGAGAGGGGCTACCAATTCCTAAAGCACCAGAATCCTTCGTGGTTGAGTCAAGTGAGGAAGAACCTGAGGCGTGTAGTCACGTGCAGTTGTAAGAGATAGCCCTTTCCTCGAATACAAGAGAAAAGCCAAGAGAAGCAAAACCGACACAAACTGAAGACAAAACTAGTGAGAATCCTAAGTGTTAAAATGATTCAACTTATCTTATGGCTATAATTTTTCTTGGTAACCCTATGCAATATATTATGCCATTTAGGCTTTGTTATGTAGTCAATATCACTTGCTTTATATTTGTGGAAAGGCATCTATCTATATAATTATTGTGCATTATGTAGTCATTACGCCTATAGTAGAAAACTTTCCGTTTACAGAAAAACTAGAGCCAATTGACAAATTTCATTGTTATATTTGAACTCAGAATGTGAAATTCATTAAGAAATGGATCCTTTTGTTTCCAAAACTGGCAAAAAATAAAAATTTGTTGAACAGTGTAATGTAAGCATGCTTGCCAGTGTGGCAAGTGTGTCTGCTGATTGATTGGCTGCCTCTGCCTGAGCAGCAAATCGGTGCCTCTGCCTCCCCCAAATCCAGCCCCTTGTCATGGATGAAAACAAGAAGCGGCTGGAAGGATCGAGTCCCTATAGAATGGAGGGAGATGGTGTCACTTGTAGGTTTGTGAGCCCGGGAATTGCAGTTGTTAAATAATCAGAATATTCCTTTAGTAAAAGTTTTCCTTTTCATTAGCTATGTAAAAATACTTTTAAAAATACTTTTTTAAGACTAATAAGCTTCTTAATAAAGACCTTTTTTTTTTTGCTCTGCAGAGACAACCACCAGCACCAGCAGGACCAGCAGCACCATCAGCACCACTCCCAAGAATACTCAGACAAACGGAAGCCCAGAACCCACCAAGAAAACAGAATCTGTCCTTTTCCTAGGACTGGACATCTCTACAAAAGATGCCTCCACTGCTTTGTACGTGGAGTTTGCCCTGTTACTCACTTCTGTCTTGGGCATTATTTTATCTCTGGTGCTGTACATTAAAAAAGGCAAGAAGACAGTTCAAACTGCAACATTCTAACTGTGTTTGTTACTAATGTATAGTTTTTATATACAAGATCTTCCAGAATGGACTGAAATAAAATGACTTCAAACAAATATCGCATTTTATTTTTGTTTGTATGAGACTTTGTATGGTTAATCACATACTCCTCCCAAGAAACAGAATAAACATGAAGGAATCCTTTAGATAACTTGCTGGTCTCAGGGAACCCCTGCTAATAATTACTATATCTACAGCTCAGAGTACATTAGCGCGATGGTCACAAGGAAGAATGTTCCTTACAATAAATCCCTAATAACCTTCGAAAGAACCCTACGTTCCACAGAATCCTAGGGTTTGAAATAGGAAAGAGTTAAACCCCGTTAGACATTTTTGCTACCTACAGTATGTCTCATTGGGAAGATTTATCCTCTATTCTTCTTCCAGAGATAACTGCAAATTTTGGATTCCTCATTCCTTGCAGTCCTTTGTCTATGGTCACCAAGACAAATAGGGGGGGTGAATCTCCCCAGTGGGGACCCAGACATCTATAACACCCCAGAGATTTTAAACCTTCTATACTTTATCCAAATCTAAAAAAACGGTGGCTTTGGATACACTTTAACATGGTTAAAGAGAGAGGAAATTTTTACAGCCCACTCTCTCTTCCCAAAATTCTATACTTACCAAGTCTAAAAATATGGATTGTTGGCAACTCTGTCAATAAGACAGAAGTTAGAGATGGATGAGAAGCTCTAAATGTTACAGTTGTCACCAGAACAGAAGGTGAAGGTAAATCTTCCAGTGGAGACACCTGTTCCAGTAAGAGCACAATGGGAATGCTCCGAACATTAAAGAGATTATGTTATTGGCATAGAGAATCCACTAGATGGCACACAATATAATATATCCTTTTTTTTTCCTTCTCATGGAGTCCCCCTAAAACCTTATAGTAATCTCATAATTTATTGACAACAGCATTCTGGCTTTTCACTGAACTCTCAACCTTCCTCGGCCTTGTTGGGTGTTAGGAAAGTTTCTCCAATGGGATCCTAGAAAGGAGTGTTCTCCAATGGGATCCTAGAAAGGAGTGAAGACCCAAACAAGTGATAGAGCCTAGCCAGAACCTCAATGAAAATGGCCAAATACAGTTTAGATGGGGTTACATGTCACATTACAGAATGCTTCCTATTGGTTGTCACATAGTAAAACTAGTTGAAAATGTTGGCCAAGCCATAGTGGGTAAATCCAGATTAGGTAAAACAAACCCGACATTTTAAAATCATTGTCTATGTTCTTTCCCACACAGCTGCCAAACTGGACAGGGTGGACCTGCGTGGGTACTCAGCTTGGAGTCTCATGGATAACTTTATCACATTATATTTGTTTGTATGAGATTTTGTATGGTCAACCACATACTCCTCCCAACAAACCGAACAAACATGGAGGAACCCTTGAAATAACTTTCTGGTCTCAGGGAACCCCTGTTAATTATAACTAAATCCACAGCTCAGAGTACATTAGTGTGATGGTCACAAGGAACAATGTGCCTTACAATAAATTCCTAACAACCTTCAGAGGAACCCTAGAGTTCCACAGAATCCTCGGGTTTGAAATAAGAAAGAGTTAAACCCCCTGTTAGGTATTTTTGCTACCTACAGTATGTCTCGTTGGGAAGATTAACCCTTTCTTCTTGTTCCAGCACTAACTCAAAATTTTGGATTCCCCATTACTTTTAGTCCTTTGTCTATGGTCACCAAGACAAATAGGGAGGATGAATCTCCCCAGTGGGGACCCAGACGTCTATTACAACCCAAAAGACACTTCAAACCTCCCATACTTTATCCAAATCTAAAAAAAGCTGTGGCTATAGATACAGTTTAACATGCTTAAAGAGTAAAGAAAATTTTACAGCCCACCCTCTCTTCCCAAAATTCTATACTTACTAAGTATAGCAGTGAGGTCTCAGTATATAGAAAAGCTTTGGGGAAAGAGGGTGGGCTTCTGCCAAACTTAAAAATGATATCAAACCTTTGATTTTCTTTTAATTAAAATAATAAACATATTTACCTGCGCTGTTTTGCACAGAACAGCCCTGATCCTCCTCTTCTCTGGTCCCCCACCAGTGCTCTTGGCTCTTCCTCTTCTGCAAATGCCCCCATAGAAAGCTGCTTTTATATGAGAACACTCATAGGAGCTTGCTCCCGAGCAGCCGTATCTGCATCTATTGACACAGACAAAGTGGCTCGGCCCCACCACCCGCTCTCTCATCACAGGGTTTGATAAACTCTAGAGAGAGAGATATCATATTACCCGGTACAAATCATTAGTAATACCTCATCTGGAATATGCAGTTCAGTTTTGGGCACCAATTCACAAAAAGAACATTGGGGAACTGGAGAAAGTACAGAGAAGGGCAACTAAACTGATAAGAGGCATGGAGGAGATCAGCTATGAGGAAAGATTAGAGAAACTGAATTTATTCTCTCTTGAGAAGAGGAGATTAAGGGGGGATATGATCTCCATGTATAATACATAAGGGGGGAAATGATCACCATGTATAATACATAAGGGGGGATATGATCACCATGTATAATACATAAGGGGGGATATGATCTCCATGTATAATACATAAGGGGGATATGATCACCATGTATAATACATAAGGGGGGGATATGATCTCCATGTATAGTACATAAGGGGGGATATGATCTCCATGTATAATACATAAGGGGGATATGATCTCCATGTATAATACATAAGGGGGATATGATCACCATGTATAATACATAAGGGGAGATATGATCTCCATGTAAAATACATAAGGGGAATATGATCTCCATGTATAATACATAAGGGGGGGGATATGATCACCATGTATAATACATAAGGGGGGGATATGATCTCCATGTATAATACATAAGGAGGGATATGATCTCCATGTATAATACATAAGGGGGATATGATCTCCATGTATAATACATAAGGAGGATATAATCTCCATGTATAATACATAAGGGGGATATGATCTCCATGATTGTAAGCTCGAAAGAGCAGGGCCCTCGATCCCCTCATGTTTTGCATTGTATTGGTATTGTTCTGTCACATGTTCTGACCCCCTTTGTAATGTACAGCGCTGAGCGAACCATTGGCGCTTTATAAATACTGTATAATAATAATGTATAATACGTAAGAGGGATATGATCTCCATGTATAATACATAAGGGGGGATATGATCTCCATGTATAATACATAAGGGGGGATATGGTCTCCATGTATAATACATAAGGGGGGATATGATCACCATGTATAATACATAAGGGGGGATATGATCACCATGTATAATACATAAGGGGGGATATGATCACCATGTATAATACATAAGGGGGATATGATCTCCATGTATAATACATAACGGGGGGATATGACCTCCATGTATAATACATAACGGGGGATATGACCTCCATGTATAATACATAAGGGGGGATATGATCTCCATGTATAATACATAAGGGGGGATATGATCACCATGTATAACACATAAGGGGGGATATGATCTCCATGTATAATACATAAGGGGGATATGATCACCATGTATAATACATAACGGGGGATATGACCTCCATGTATAATACATAAGGAGGATGTGATCTCCATGTATAATACATGAGGGGGGTTAACAGCACCATGTATAATACATAAGGTTGGATATGATCTCCATGTATAATACATAAGGGGGGATATGATCTCCATGTATAATACATAAGGGGGGATATGATCACCATGTATAATACATAAGAGGGGATATGATCTCCATGTATAATACATAAGGGGGGATATGATCACCATGTATAATACATAAGGGGGATATGATCTCCATGTATAATACATAAGGGGGGATATGATCACCATGTATAATACATAAGGGGGGATATGATCTCCATGTATAATACATAAGGGGGGATATGATCTCCATGTATAATACATAAGGGGGGATATGATCTCCATGTATAATACATAAGGGGGGATATGATCACCATGTATAATACATAAGAGGGGATATGATCTCCATGTATAATACATAAGGGGGGATATGATCACCATGTATAATACATAAGGGGGGATATGATCTCCATGTATAATACATAAGGGGGATATGATCTCCATGTATAATACATAAGGGGGGATATGATCTCCATGTATAATACATAAGGGGGGGGATATGATCACCATGTATAATACATAAGGGGGGGGATATGATTTCCATGTATAATACATAAGGCGGATATGATCTCCATGTATAATACATAAGGGGGGATATGATCTCCATGTATAATACATAAGGGGGATATGATCTCCATGTATAATACATAAGGGGGATATGATCTCCATGTATAATACATAAGGGGGGATATGATCTCCATGTATAATACATAAGGGGGATATGATCTCCATGTAATAATACATAAGGGGGGATATGATCTCCATGTATAATACATAAGGGGGATATGATCTCCATGTATAATACATAAGGGGGATATGATCTCCATGTATAATACATAAGGGGGATATGATCTCCATGTATAATACATAAGGGGGGATATGATCACCATGTATAATACATAAGGGGGGGATATGATCTCCATGTATAATACATAAGGGGGATATGATCACCATGTATAATACATAAGGGGGGGATATGATCTCCATGTATAATACATAGGGGGGATATGATCTCCCTGTATAAATACATCAGTGGTTCATATAGTGAACTTGGTGTAGAGCTATTCACCCTGAGGTCATCACAGAGGACAAGGGGGCACACTTTACATCTGGAAGAAAATACATTTAATCTCCAAATATGGAAAGGTTTCTTCACA